AATTATTTAGAATTTCTTTTTATTTACACGTCCAAAAAGTACATTTGGTCGTCAGGTCGCGCGCGACGGCGGGAAATTCGACAATGGCAAAATCCGGGTGATAAACACGCACGTGACGTAAACGAGGCAGAAAGTACGATCGGACGCACGTATATATACACACGGGGGGCGACGCGACGCTTTAATAAAAACTTAAATACAATAGAACGTGAGCTTTTAATTCGTACACAGGAAAGTTGTCCCTAAATTTCATCTTCGGTATCTTCAGGGCGTTTTTGTTTTCCTCAAAATACTTTCCTTCAACTCCACATTTTTTCCAGCATGCATTAAAAGCGTCTTGTAAGCTATTCTTCGACTGTGCGAAGTGTTGCCATTGTGGCTAACATTGTGCAACCAGCGATCACTGCCGAAATTCTGCAATATTCACCATACTAGGACTTCACGATTTTTTTTCTCTCAGTATTTGAAAAGAACGTTGAAAGGAAAACAGCACAATCACAACGATAACACTTCCCATATTGTCGAAAAATGGCTTACAACACGCTTTTAATACGTTGGTACGACGCTGGCAAGAATTGAGAGGTTCGAGGGAGAGTATTTTGAGAACGTCAATTGGACAGAAGATTCCGAAGATGACATTTAACTTAGGTTTTCTCTCCTGTTCACGAATTAGACGATCATCCCCTACAGTGTATACGTATATTCTAGTGTCAATATGTCCCACGCTTAGATACTTGCTTATTTTTTAAAATTAAATAAAGTATAATCGTCGAATTATCAAATTTTCTAACATATTTTAAAGTTATGTTACTCCTTACTCTTGTAGGAAATTTACGATTTTTATCTTTATACCATGGTATTTTATTTATTAGCAAGTAAATTTCACATTTATCTCTCAAATTTTCATGTTCAAGAGCTGTTCGACAGTGTGCTAAATATATTGCCAAATTTTATATTGAAAAATCACAAAAAAATCCAGCAACGATTTGCTTAACTTTACCGGCTGTTATGAAATTTTATTCTCAAAATAACTTTTATATTATTAATCGTAATAAAATTGTATATGGTTATGTTATAAGACTTTTTCCTATTATTAACCATAAAAGCCTAATTTTGAGGGCAGCGACAAGATTCATAAAACAATCGCAAATCCAAGTTCGACTCTACTCGAGAAGCAGCGTGGCACCCAATTCCCCTTAATAACACACAAGCTACCGTGCCAAATTTCTCAATATTTATCCTAACACGAGATATTAAAATCCCACCGACGCTGTATATTCAACATTGAGTAATTTTATCTTTGCCATTTTGTAAAAAATTTTGAAAAATGGTTACACAATAAATAGTGGTAAGATGATATACGTGAAAACGATGTAAGTCGTCAATAAAAAAGGCGAAAATATTCGCATTCAATAACAAATTGCGATGATTTAAATATAATAGTGCGAAGACGTCGATACCAAATTTATGTGGAACGATTTCTTGGTTCCAGTAACTCAGCTTTCAGGAAGAGTTCTAGAAGAGGAGATGGTTTCAACTGTCGTAAGATCGTCATGGTCCTGTGAATGGGAATGCCCATTTACAGCGATTTGATCGTTTCTTCCAGAAGATAGCACGTACTAAATTTGTGCCATTTTTGACATTCGTTACTTTCGAGCAAGATTTATACACACAAGAGTACATTTTATGCTCGAAGCAGGCACGAAATCCTGTGATTTTCATGCAGTCGTTTTTAATCACCCGTAGTATATTTGCTGTGATAAGCAGTGGTAAAAGGACAGTTAAGGCGATCTTCGTACCGTCCATTGTCTCTTGTTTCAAAATAAATTTAACAATTACGTGATAATACATTTTAATGACGACATTTTGTTGCATCTGTTTACTTTACAATAATAATAATATAATAATAAAGTGCCAGTTTAAATAGTCTTATCTCGAGTGGGGTCGGACTTAATGAAGAAATTATTATAACAAAATCTCGTAACAGGTGGCGCCGCACACAATTTCATTTATTATTATTATTAATAATAATAATATAAAAGTTATTTTTTTAAATAAAATTTCATAACAACCGGGAAAGTCTCGCAAATCGTTGCAGGATTTCTCTTTATTGTTTTTGTTTTTTAATTTATAATTTAGGATTATTATTAGTTGTCATTTTCTACCTTAAAATTACTTGTATACAGTCGACCCCCCTATAACACTGTTTGATAATTCCGTTTTATATGAATTCCATGTTGTACGAGTCACTTAGATTTTACAAATACGTGTGCCGGGCTATGAACGGCTCACATATTTGTAAAATCTAAGTGACTCGTACAACATGGAATTCATATAAAACGGAATTATCAACAGTGTTATAGGGGGGTCGACTTGTATACTGTTTATCGAAATGTGTAGTGTTTTGGAGTCTGGAAACAGATTTATTCACTTTCCATTATTTCTGATGGAGAACAATTATTTAGAATTTCTTTTTATTTACACGTCCAAAAAGTACATTTGGTCGTCAGGTCGCGCGCGACGGCGGGAAATTCGACAATGGCAAAATCCGGGTGATAAACACGCACGTGACGTAAACGAGGCAGAAAGTACGATCGGACGCACGTATATATACACACGGGGGGCGACGCGACGCTTTAATAAAAACTTAAATACAATAGAACTCTGGTCGCCCGGTTATAAATAAATTAAAAAAATCTATGTAGAGAACTTCCGGCTCTAAAATATTTTAAATTTATAAAAACAAAAAATAATAATAATTAATAGCCATAGAACTAACAATAAGAACAATTGCGCTACACTTTAGATCAGTGCGTGTGTGTGTGTGTTTGTTTGTTTGTGTGTGTATGTATCGACGGTCGAGCCGACTCCAACCCGGGAAAATTCACTCCCCCCGAGGTTCCGCTGCTCTGGAGGCAGAACCCCTACGTCAGAATCCAGAGGGGGTACAGATTCAGGTGTAAGGTCTGGTCGAATATTTATTCTCTTCGGGCAAATCCAGTCCGCTCTTCAGGGTTCGACGAACTGAAATTGTAAATTGGACCCGTCATTAATGAAAAACTGTTATTTTCAGAACATCCTAAAATCTACATTCTACCAGTGCACGTCACTAGTATTGTGTTTGAATGACGTCTAAGTTAATATTTTGAACTCACGTGACTTTCTATCGCCGTAACGAGCCTTCTTCCTGACTCTGGGTTCCGTTCGGGTGGGTTGCGTGGTGGCAGTCTTCACCAGACTCTCAAGTATTTCGTCATCTGCATCAGTCAGATTTTCGTCTCTGAGGACGGGTCCGTGTCTTCCGGGTTTATGTCCCACACCTCGGAAGAAAATTTAAATATTGAAATATCGTAAAAAAAGTATATTACGTCACAAAATAACTTCGCTTAGGATCGCTTGGCGTGTGACTTATGGTGGTGATCATGCACTCCCGATATGATCTGTGGTCTGCAGTGGCACATTATAGCTTCGTGGGGCAAATTTGAATTAGGGAGTTCTGCGCACAGTGTTGACTTCGTTCGGGGGATTCAAAAATTTCCCGGTATCCTGGTTCGTTTTTTTAACGCGGCCTTTGCGCTGTGCCAGTGCACCCCGCGCTTGTGCCAAATTGGCAATCTAGGATCCCCGGATATGGCCCGAATTTAAATTTCGATATTCTTACTACAGTATTGACTTTATAAAAGATTAGTCCGGCCCTCCTGTTGATAGGGGTCCCCGGGCAATTATTCTTTTCGTCCATAGGATAACGTGCCACTGGTGGTCTGCCGCTTAACATTTCCGAGTTTGCAGCGACACAAATTTGTGTTACAGACAAATCGAATTCGTTTGAGTCTTAGGAACAGCTACGACCTCTACTTACCAGGAACGAGTTTCGGTCGCCCTTTACTTCCGGGTAACATTTTATCCCACTTGTGTGACCTGGATTCTTCGTTTTCCACGTTTCCGTTCTTCAGGATCTGCCTGAGTTCCCGGTCAGCCTGCTGCTCTTTGGTTCGGAATTTTGGCGTCTGTTCGAAATACAACAAAAATTGGAATTGGACCAACGGCGGACAATCGGAAAACGTCAGAAAGGAAGCGATCAATTACTTCGGTAATCATTTTTCCTCTGGTCTTGTTACGTTCGCGGTGACTTGCTTTTTTCTCCATCTGCTGGATCACCCTTTCTCTGGTCGTCCTGTATTCCAGAGCGAATTCGCATATAATTTTGCAGATGTGATTGACTTTGACGTCTTTTATGGTGTGAGCGACGAAACCGAAATACACCAGCAACTTATAGAACCTGGATAAGAAGATAACGGTGGAAATCGAATTCGGAATCCACGTCGCCTTTCGACAGATATTCACTATTCTGGATATTTGCGTGGATAGCCTATTTACTTACCTATTAAGTACTCTCCTCTGGATAATTCCTAAGATGATGATCCTTTCCGCGCACTCGGCTAAAAATTCCGCCATCCTAAATGGAAAAGTAAATAAATGGTCAACTGGAAATGTGTCCAGCGATCCTCTCGTATTTCGAAAGGAAAAATGAGCGAAAGAATGGCTATTTTCGAGCCTAATGATTAGTCTGGAGTGATACGAGCGGTGCCAAGTTGGCGCGATGTCCTCCACAGTAAGCACCTAGGAGACGACGAACCAACAATTTCGACCACTCGACTGACAGATAAAAAAAAAAAAAAAAAGAAACTACTCACTTGACTCTCATGGAGGTGGAGCCGTCGTGCTTGGCGATTACTTTCAGATAGTCCCAAGATGCCTTGCACTCGTTCTCCATTTTAGTTAAATTCCTGTTCACCTCGTCGAAATCCACCTGAAACAACGAAACAGTCAATACTTCAAAGTCTTAGTCCGTGACATTTTTGACACGGAAATAGGATTTACCTTCGATGCTCTGGCCACAGAACCCAATTCCGAATACAAGTCCGTCGAATTAGGGAACTTCTCCATGACGAACTGGCACAGATGATGAAGAAGAGAATGCTTCTGGACAGTGTCTTTCACTTCGGGAACCTTTGCTAAATATTCTATGTTGAAGCCCCTGGCCTGAAAATGTTTATACCAATTGTAAACAGGGTAATATTTGAATAACTGTTAAGCCAGATTAGTACACGTGGGTGGATTAATACTCCCTCACCAGAATTTATTATTATTATTATTATTGACTTCATACATTTTTCTACGTGTGAGAAGTTTTTTGGGAAATATTTTCTTATAAAAGATTGGTTTGAGGCACCCTGTCGTTGACAGTCCTAGGCAATTGCCTTTTTTGCCCATAGGATAACGTGCCACTGAACATTACTTACCTCCACTCCATTTAAAAAGTTGCCAATGGAGAGAAGTGTTGCCAAAATTGACCGGAATGTTTGGCTCTTCTCTATTTCTTCAACTCCTTGTTTCAGATCCATCAAAGGTTCCACAACTTCCTAATATATAATAATCAATTATATGTAACGGTGCAAAGTACGTACAGCAAAATAACAATAGGACTTTTAAGAATTCACCTTTTCCATAGTGTCGTAGTCCAGGCGGAAAGCCCACAACTTCAACCTGGCTTCTAATTCGTTAATAGAAGATAGAATGAGCAGACATTGCTCGGCGGAACCCAGAGGTACGTCCGGATTGGCCATTTGAGCTTCTGTTATTTTCGTTTTCTCCTCTTCTGTCGGCATCATGGTCGTCAGAATTTTCTATTTAAATACATAAATAATTCTAAATTCTATTGAATTATTGTGGTTATTCTCTTTCAACAAGGCATTTGCTTGTCTATTTTGTTAATGGAGTTTTCTTCGAGTGTCTAACGTCTAAATAGGAGACAATTCCTGTATAAAGTCTTACTGGGAGGCACCTCACTGAAATCGCCCGTGGACGATTGCAAAGGGGGATGCCTCCTGGGTTTAATATCATACAACAATGCATCCTTCCCTTACAAAACGCCCGTGGGAGGTTGCTAAGAGAGGATGCTTTGTTGTACGATATTAAACCACACCGTAATTAGAAGGCCTCCTGTTTTAGTAACGGGTACTTCGAGAATATTTTCGGAATGCGGAGAAACAGAATAAAATTACTACTACTAAAAAGACAAAGGAAGAACTCATTACTTCGATTCCTTCCCTGTTCATGATGATGCTGTCCATTTTGAGAATGGCCGTTTTAATGGTCCTCGGAGGCGGAAGCTTGGTCAGACCGATGTTGATGGCATTCGAACGTTTCGTATCCAATACTACAATTTCGTTCTTTTTTCCGCTCTCTTGAGTTTTCTAAATTAAAAAAAAAGTATTTTAAATTCATTCCATTACAGAATAAAGCGTTCATTTAGATGCCAACTACCCAGAAAATATGTATTAAGTTGCCCCATTGGTGCACATTTCAACTACCGTAGCTAAAATACGACAATTTTTACCGCAGTAAGAATGGGGATTTTTAAAGAGGGACGTCGTAAAGCGAAGTTCTAACGTATTGCAAATTTCACGAAAAATCAGGAACCCCGAAAACATTTAAATTTATTAAATTCGAACGGTTTAATTAAGCGCTAGTTTTAGAAAGATTCGTAAATGAATAAAACTAATTAAAGAAGTTATTTATATAAAACTTGTTAATTACATTGAGTGGAAAATTCTCTTACCTCCTAGACACGAGAAAATGTCGAAATGTCAGTTGGTGTGGGGGCGTAAATGGCAGCAAATATCCAAGAGAAAAATTAGACCAATTAGAAACCATGCATTTGTTTATTTTATATTCCTGCAAATTCTTCTTTACAGTTTTATATCGATACAGTATACTCTTAATCTCCCCCGATTTACGGTTTTATTTACGTAAAATTGGGTTTATATTTTCTATAACTTATTGCCTGGTACGAAAAAATATATAAGCTATATTCGAGAGTCGTGCAGCCATTATTTCTGAGGATCCGTGTTAAGTGGGTATGACAATAAAAGCAGTTCTCTCTTAGCAAACCCATTACAGGTTCGGCCAGATTCACGGGTGATGAGGGACGGATCCGACATATCCGGACACGTCACCCAGGAAAAATTTCTGGATCCTTTCGTATTCCGGGTCCTCCAGAGTGGTGCCCACTATTATCCGAACGAAAACCAAAGAACACTGGTGGTTTGGTCGTGTGCCTGGCTGTGTGGAGTTTTCGGTGTAGTTTCCCATAAAAAAGTCCACCCCTCGGTAGATTTCTCAAGTGCCACGTTGCCGAATACAAATAAATCAAACCTCTACAGTGGTAGAGTGCCAAATTAACTACAGTTGACCCCCCTATAACACTGTTGATTTTTCCGTTTTATATGAATTCCACGTCCTACGAGTCACTTAGATTTTACAAATACACAAGCCGTTCACAGCCCGGCACACGTATTTGTAAAATCTAAGTGACTCGTACAACATGGAATTCATATAAAACGGAAAAACCAACAGTGTTATAGGGGGGTCGACTGGTACTCGACTTTAATAAATTATAGGCTCGGGCCCCGAATTCGAACCCGAATTCCTCTGGTCGTATTGATTGATTGCACTAAAACAATTCAACGATGATAAAATTTTTTGCAGACATTTTTTTAATTATTAAGAATATACTGCATCACATTTTTATAAATTGCATGCAAATTTCCATGCTTCTTATAGTTATTATAAAAATTATACAGCATTAAATAATCATTTTTTAAAAATAAAAACAGAAAAATTAAATATGGATAATTTAAAAGTTAAATTAAAAACTTTATTCAAATAATATAAAATCGGTATTAAAATTTATTATATTGTTCACAAAAGCATTACTTTTAAATTATATTATTATTATTATTACAGCAAAAAATTATGATTTAAATTCAAATTACAAAAGGTAAAAAATTGGTGAATATAAAGCATTAAGATCGCATTGAAATTTATTAATTATAAATTATTTATTTAGTGGAAAATTAAATCGTCCCCATTCGAAGTCGTCTGAAGAAACGTCTACCGCCAAATTCTCCTCTGGTGGCGATACCTGGAAGTATTATTCTGCCGCAGAAATCGAGTCCACAGGCGCCAAAAAGCATTTATATTGGGTTCGAATCCTGACAGGATTAATCCAGGGATCCCGAATCGATTCCAGACCAGATTTTCACTTGTGCCAATTATGAAATATCCGAAGATTCTGATAAGACAAGGCCTTTTCGATCTCATTGGCACACGAACCCACTCGAGCAAATTTTAACCGCTAAATGTCTTTGCAGACGGCTTCGAATGGGAGTTATTTAATTAAGATAACCCGGTATAAGTACATAGAAGGCATTAAAAACAGTGCAAATAAATAATCTATTGCATACCTTATTCATAATATCTTTGGCTCTGCTTTCGAAGAGATATTCTAGCTTCTGAGTATCCACGTTGATGACTTTTATCTCATCCCATATTGTTCTCTTGATACCCGCCCTGTTCAGAAGCATGGGTTCTTCTCTAAATTCCCTCCAGAATAACTTGACGGTTTTCTTGTTCTTCGGATTAGATTTCTCCTGTTCTTGATGTTTCTCCGGTTGCGGTGCGGATCTTCTGACCCAGGGTGGAGCTTGCGGAGTAACCGTACTTTTCTGAGTGTTCATTAATAAAGGTGCCGTAGATTTCAATCCGAACGCCGGAGCCGGCGGCGGAGGAGGCGGTGGGGCCCCTCCCAAATTTGGTAACGGAGGAGGAGGAGGAGGAATTCCCATACCGGGAAGTGGAGGAGGAGGAGGACCAGCCATGCCCGGTGGGGGAGGAGGAGGAGGCGGGCCTCCCAAACCCGGTGGTGGGGGCGGTGGTGGTGGTCCGCAGTTAAACATCGGCGCCTGTTGCGGTGGAGCTACGGGCGCGAGAACGAAACCTTGAGGTTTGAATATGTCGACGTCGTCCTTGTCGTCGAGATCGGTGAAATCTAAATCGTTAATTATTAAAGGGCGGGCGATGGTCTTCATGAGTTGCTCCCATTGAAAATCGTCACTCTTCTTCAAATCGAGGATGAACGAAGAACTTTTCTGAGGCGCAATGGGCGCTTTCTGTTCCTGGCGGGTTCCGCCGGATATCAGGCCCTCTTTCGCTCTTCCGATAATACCGCTGGTGTCACCCGATCGTATCCCCGGTGACTTTGGTCCCGGTATCTGTTTTCCTATCACCTTTCCCTGAATGTCTTGTATGCTGCTGTCTTTCTTCAGGGGAAACTTTTCTTCTCTTTGATTAGCGAATTCTCCGGATGGCGACTGAGATAAATTCTTCTTGTTTTCGTCTTCTTGGCTCTTACTGTACATCATGGAGAGCATCCACGACTTCTTGTTCGAATCCTTGCGAGTGTAAGGCGTAGGGCCTTTATTAATTTCCGTCTGGCTTCCCTTCTTGTTAAGGGGGTGCAAGGTCTGATCGAGTTTGGCACCGCTATCGTTTTTTATTAAGGGCGAACTTAGTTTGTTTGCCTGGGCGCTCACCCAACTGCCCTGTTTGGCAAGAGGAGGAGGAGGAGGCGGAAACTTTTCGCTCTTCTCCTGTTGGCTGTCTTGTCTGACGAAGGGAGACTTGATGTCGGCCTTACTGCCCTGTTTACTAAGAGGTACTTTGTTCGCATCGGGCCAACTGTCTTGTCGAACGAATTTTTTCCCTCCCGCTTCCGTTTGGCCGCTCTGTTTGTTGGCGATTTCGCTTTGGCTTCCCTGTTTCGCTAGTTTTTTCATGTAATTTTCTTTTGTTTCCGAAACGCTGTTCTGTCTGACCAGAGAAGGTTTTTTGTCGCCAATTTCCGTAATACTATTCTGTTTCTTCAGTTCGGGCTTCTTGTTCTCCAACGATTTCTGTCTTGTCAATTGCTGGTTTTTCCTATTCTCGTCTTCAATTTTACTCTCGAAACGATAGCGATGTTTTTCCACTAAAGATGGACCTATTTAAAAATATATATAGGCCTATATGATAATGACGTTCCATATATTTTTAAAAAAATGTATGATACATATGTTAATATATCCGAGATAAAAAAAAATACCGTGCTTTTCCTGCAATGGCGCTTTCTCTTGTTCTCTGTCTGATGGGATGCTGTTTGTTCTTTGATACACTGGAGGAGAGGGAGCGATCTCTTGATTTATACCCAAAGCTTTATTCTGAGCTTCTCTTTCTCTTCTCCTGCGTAGAGCCGGCGTAATTTCCGTAACTTCCGTTGCTACCGAATAGAAATAAAAGAAAATATCAAAAAGTATTCTTTCCCTCGATATCAAATGACACGTACACGGCGTACTTGAAGCTTCGTACTTCTTACCTTAATATCTCTTTCATAACGTTTTAAAGCCAAATTAGAGGGGGAAATTTAGTTAAATAGAACAGTTTATGAAGGAAATAATATGCATTTACATTTTCTCAGACCGTTACGGCACGAAAGAACGTATCAGAATGAATTACAAGGGCTACTAATGGAAATCCTACCCTGTAAAGTTGCTTTCTTGTTATAAATTTTACTCCCCATTTTTCTCTATTTGTAAATACAAAAGTCTATGTGTATACGAGAAAAACTTATTGCGAAACTATTTTTTATTTAAAGGGAAACCACTAACTGTATGATTTAGAATCTCCAGATTGAACCCCCAACAATAAATACGGGAGAAAGTAGCGGGTCGAAGGAAGGAAGAGCAAGATGAAAGTGCTATGAAAAGAAGTAGATGGTGCAAAAAAACTGCATCAGACTGAGGTTTCTTCCAATGAAGTTTGCGAGGTTCCTGAGAGAACCTCACAAACTTCCTGAGAGAACCTCACAATGAAGTTTGTGAGGTTCTCTCAGGAAGTTTGTGAGTTTCCTGAGGAAATAAAAGAAAATATCTCTACATTTTATCAAATCATTCCCTTTATGAAATGGGCTGTATAGCCAAATAAGATTCCCTTCTACCGCGTTAATATAATAGAGTGAACGAGCAAAATAACGTGAAATGAGCAACCAATATGGGGGACGATTGTTTTTTTGTTGGGCTGAGCGATGACATTATATTACCTGACTGCACTCCCTTTATAGCACGGAGGTTATACTTTTATCTACTGATTATAGTGGCGCGTTACAGCTTCGTAGGGCCCAGGCGAATTTGAATGTACAGACACTTTTTTTCGTGGGGAAAATGTTTTCTTATAAAAGATTAGTTAGGGGCCCCCATCAACAGGTAATTTCGTGGAGGCAGGAGATCTTTCATGAAAAACTGGCCACTATTTATATGTTACTAACGCGAAGAAATCCCGAATAGCTTCACGGGTTTTTTTAGGGTTTCCCCCCTAACTCTTTACACTCCGTGGTCACTAAGAGGGACTTTTTAGCAAGCCCATTATGGATTCGGCCAAACCCACAGTAGGGAAGTCGGGAAGAGAGACGAATATCAGCCCGAAAGATTCGTGGAATATTTTCGACCCGTCCGGAATCGAACCCGGATCCCTCATTTATAAATTACCTGGAATGGCGGCGCTTCCGTTTTGCATCTGTCCTTCCGATTTGCTCGAATCGTCGTTAGATATTTGTCTGAAAATAAAGAAATGTTTGGTTTTTATAAAATGGAATTCTGTAATTATCTCTTATTTTAAATTAAATTAAATTGCTGTGTGACCGTAATAAAAAAAAAAATAAAAGTTAGTGTGGCTTTACCTTGTTGTTCTCCTCCAAGGCACTTTGTCTTGTTGATTAGTTGTTTGTATATCCGGAGGTTTTATTTTCGATGATGATATCGACTTCCCCAATGAATGCCTTTTGCTCTTTCTCCTGTCGTTATCGTCTAAACAAATCTTCCGATTTCTCGGCATTTGTCTGAAAGAAACATACCCGACATTCAACATTCCATCCTGTGTGACAATTATTTGACCATCCCCTTTCATTGTTAAGTTATGGCAATGTAACACTTGGGCAATCTGCCTTCCGGGAGGTCTTTTTTAAGGGAAACTGGCCCCTATTTAGGCGTTACAGACATGGAGAAAACTCGGAAAACTTCACGTCCCAGCGAGGCTCGAACCCACCACCGAATTTCCAGTGTTCAGGGTATAAAGACTGCTTGGCCACTGGTGTTCATTGTTAATTAAATAACTTTGTTGTATTACTATATATATATGTTTTCATATATTACATCAATAGCTGGGCACAACATGGTTATCTAAACTGTACAATGATTTAAGTCTGTACAACTGTATAAAGTTACAGAATGTTTAAAAATAATTTATCTACTTGTGACTGTAATTTAGACAAAAATCAGTATTTATTATAACTTTTCTACCAATTGTTAATCCTTTTTTTTCCTTATAATTGTGGTTTCTAATCTTAATGTGAGATTCACTTGTCTATATTGTAGATTTAATGGGTTTTAATTCACTGAAACAGTGAATTAAAACCCATTAAATGTTTTGCCTCCTGCTGTGTTTTGCCTCCTCCAAAACAAAACCCTACGAGTGCCTCTGAATTGAGCATGTTCTAAATCATTCACTGAGTATATTCAAATGTTTAAAATACAACCTAATTATGCACCATTACTATTTCTTGACAAATATGTGGCTGTGTAGAATTCTAACAAGTAAATATGGCAAGCCCAGGATTAAAAATATAAGACATTTTGAGATAATAAAAGCGGTTTTTAAAAAAACTAACCTGAGAGTAACGTCGTAAGGCAACGGTTTTCCGTCGTCGTCGCCGTCTTCGTGCTTTAACACCGCCTAAAATTATAATTAGAATGAATAGAAAGTAAAGTAGATTCAATAAATTGTTTCAGTATACAATTTGTAACCTCTCTGCATCAAAATATAAATAAGTCTTGTTTATATAATGACTTTTTATGTTTTAAACTTACCAAAAAACTAATTATTAAGATTATTTTAGTGCTGAATTGTATAATTATGCCCAAAATACTTATTGTATTTATGAATTAATTTAGCCTAGTTAGAGACATTTTGAAACATATATGAGGACTGAAATTGTAAGAAAAGTACCAACAGCTATCAGTAAAAATGTTGATTGTGTCTCCATTAAGTGTACTTTTTGGATTTATTCTATTATATACATGTATCTTGATCATTTATTCAATAGTCCTGGGTGAGTAACCAAGTCCATACCAAACAGTTTTGGCACCCAGGACAGATCTCATACCTGATATCCTTGATTCAATGTTAATTACAAAAACATTCTATAGACACAGTTTAGAGCCCCGAAATCATGTGGGGCATAACTAAGAGATCTGCGGCAAATGCCTATGATACAAACACTTTGAATACAATTTGTATTCAAAGTGTTTGTATCATAGGCATTAAATAAATGACAAAATACTGGTCTGTAAGGGATTGGAATGAAAAAACTGGATAGTGAACACACCTGTTTGACTGAAATACTACTTTAGTGTACACTGAATTTTGCTTTTAACAATTACACTACTTATAATTAACTCTAAGTACACTTAAACCTAGTGTATTTGGAGTTAATTATACAAAAAAATCAATTCTTGATTAGCAATAAAGTATGAGATTCACAGAAATTGCAGTGTTACAATTAAATGTATACTTTAATATTACTATAACTTTCTTTTGGGCAAAAATTGAATGATACTCATTAAGTTATCAGTTAACATCATCACTTACAAGTGGTCTCACTGGGATTGACACTAACAAGAATATACTGTATTAAGATGCTAAACTAAATTTCAGATTTCATTAATACTTGTCATTTTTAAATCAATATTAATCACTATAATTATGGAATTACCTCATAAATTTTTAATTGCTGCATAAGATCGGGATCGATTCCTTTCTTATTCAAATAGTGTTCGATGATCCATTTCATTCCCTGCTCTTCCAGAGCATCCACCACGTCGTAATAGGTATCTTGATCGGGAATGGCATTCAGAGTCTAATATTTAAAATAAAAATTACAACTGTAATCAACTTATTACTTAAATCTGTATATAAAATTTAGAATTTCCTACCAAAATATTTATTTTATTCATAAAAAATTTACTTATTTTTTCATAAATACATTGCTTCTTTGACAGTAAAGTGGAACATTTAGAAAATTTTCAGTAGAGTATTTTTTTAAATTAAGATAGAGAATATGTATAAATTCTCATTTGCTTTCCATTTTATTGTATTCAATAGAACTTACATTAAGTGTTCTCAAAAATCTGAATATTTTTAGTGTAAATTTCATCCCTTGTTTGACTTTTATACATATAAGTAAACTGTTTACTCTTAAAATTCAATTATAAAATTAACTTTTTATTAATAAATTTCTAAAAGTTTATTAAAAACACAGTGTGTGTTTCCTTGTCAAGCAGACAAGTAAGCAAACCAACCATCTTTGGCTTTCTTACTTAGCTCCTTGACAAGGAAACACTCCCACTGTGTTAAAATACAAAAGGTAAAAACTTAAATTATGAAAAGACTAATTTAGCAGTTGTTAATAACCTGAAACTTTCATTAAAACCATTCATTTATATTTAAAAAAAAAAGATATTACATCATAAAACCATTTTTATTACCTTGTTAATAAGCGTCATTGCATATATCAGAAGCTCGATATCAGACGAATCCTTTTCGTTCAACAAATTCATGATATTGGACCAAGGTTTCANATCTTTGCGAGGCCCTTGTCCTTTGTGCAAAGTATGTGAATTGAAATAGTAGGCACTTATTAATATTAATATATACTGTACTATAAATTAAATTTATTTTATTGTTATAACTAATAGCCAAGGATAAAATAAAAAGTTTTAAATATCAACTTTTTTCTACTTGGTTGTTGTGCGAGGCCCCTCCAAGAGCAAGGCCCCGGGCGATTGCCCTGCTTGCCACCCCCTAAGGCCGCCACTGACTGTACTTATAGGAAATAATGAATAATTTACAGAAACCAATTATAAACTTAGAGATATTATATTTATCTATTACTAATATATTGCTCAAGTATAGTTTATTAAAAGTACTAAAAATAAGTATATAAGAAATAATGCAATCTTACCAATTCTCCTAAGTAATGCAAGAATAAAAAGTTAGTTTTCTATACTTCTTTTTTTTTATTAAATAAAATATTTATTACATTATTAAAAATATTAAAAAGTCACTCTCTCTTGGCATAGAAAATGCCATACTACTTTACTACTATATTACAGAATTTGAGTTTATAAATTTCCATATATTTCATTGATGTAATGTAACAGTAATGAAACATTGTAAATAAGGATGAGATGATTGTCAAGTTAGCCAATTAATTAATGGGGATTCTATAATCATCTTTACTATTAAGCATACTTTTATAAATACTGAAAAAAAATCTCTTATTCTTACTACTTGTGTTCTTATGCAATTGTTTAATTACCTTACCTTTGAATCAATTATAGAATATAACCACTGAATAGTTTCATTATGTTGTATCACTCCATTCATTCCGTCAACATATAACATTACTTGACCCAGAGCTATAAAAGAAATCAAATAAAAATTAGATTTTTTAACAATTTAAAAAGCATAATAAATATTTTTTTTCCAAGAAGAATAAAGCTTCTCATGGAAAATATTATTTAAATTGTGACTGTGCAATCAGAAAGTATTGAACAAAGTGTTTAGTCTCAAGTGAATCACTCTGCTCAATGGTAATCATGTAGAAAGACTTCAAATTATTTATTAAATTATTCTATCAAACAAGGAAGACTTCTTCACACAAGTTATTGTATAATTCAAAGTTTATTTATGGAATTGCATCTTGATTAACAACACCAAACCAATGGCTGGATGGTTGAGCAATTAAGGTGGTGTCTTAATACTCTGGAGGATGGGTCAAAAAACACTACAAAGACTTTGTAACTTGAAGATGAACACAACAGCATCTGTTAAATCCCTCATACATGATTACAATTGATTTTCCAAAATACTTAGTCAATCAAGTGACCTAATATCTTTATTAGTAAATTATCAGTAATTATCTTACCTCTCAAAATATAATTCTGATAATTTTTATCCACTTCTGAACCAACTTTAATGAGGCACGCCAATCCATCGCTTTGGACAAATACATGAACTAGATCCTTGTCATCCTTTAAAAATATAAAAATACCAAGAGTTATAGTTGTGAATAAAATTATATAAAGTTATAATAAATAAATATGTCTATATGAGAATTTTGCTCTTGACACTTTCAACACTCATAAATATAAAAGATTGGATAAATGGCCAAGAATTTCCCATGTTCTCCAAGGCAGTTAAGGCGAACCCATTGCCCTTAAATCTGGGATTAAATTTGAACAGGTTGAAAAGTTCCAGGAATTTTTTGGGATGGTCCATCCATATATATATTGAGCCCCATCCCTTGCCACCAAGTGACCCTATTGTGGGCTCGTGGACCACAAGGAGGCGGCATAAGCAGCATTGAAAGGTTGCATTTCGAAGTTTGCATCGTACTGAGAAAAATCTACCACACAGCCCTGCCTAGGGATCCACAGAGAACCGGTTGAGAAACGTGGTTCTATGTTGCCAGTGTCCGCAGTCCATCACGGTGTGTGAGTTTTAGGGGTCTTCAATGTGAGAAATGTTGAGAACCACTGGTATAGACAGTTGTCTGCAATACCAAGTGCAAGGAGGCATCTGTCTTGTATCTGAGGTAATAGAACTTTTCAAATACAGGGAAAATAAATTTAATAGAATAAAGAAAGTGTTTGTAATTAGGAATTATATTTATCTATTACTAATATATTGCTCAAGTATAGTTTATTAAAAGTACTAAAAATAAGTATATAAGAAATAATGCAATCTTACCAATTCTCCTAAGTAATGCAAGAATAAAAAGTTAGTTTTCTATACTTCTTTTTTTTTATTAAATAAAATATTTATTACATTATTAAAAATATTAAAAAGTCACTCTCTCTTGGCATAGAAAATGCCATACTACTTTACTACTATATTACAGAATTTGAGTTTATAAATTTCCATATATTTCATTGATGTAATGTAACAGTAATGAAACATTGTAAATAAGGATGAGATGATTGTCAAGTTAGCCAATTAATTAATGGGGATTCTATAATCATCTTTACTATTAAGCATACTTTTATAAATACTGAAAAAAAATCTCTTATTCTTACTACTTGTGTTCTTATGCAATTGTTTAATTACCTTACCTTTGAATCAATTATAGAATATAACCACTGAATAGTTTCATTATGTTGTATCACTCCATTCATTCCGTCAACATATAACATTACTTGACCCAGAGCTATAAAAGAAATCAAATAAAAATTAGATTTTTTAACAATTTAAAAAGCATAATAAATATTTTTTTTCCAAGAAGAATAAAGCTTCTCATGGAAAATATTATTTAAATTGTGACTGTGCAATCAGAAAGTATTGAACAAAGTGTTTAGTCTCAAGTGAATCACTCTGCTCAATGGTAATCATGTAGAAAGACTTCAAATTATTTATTAAATTATTCTATCAAACAAGGAAGACTTCTTCACACAAGTTATTGTATAATTCAAAGTTTATTTATGGAATTGCATCTTGATTAACAACACCAAACCAATGGCTGGATGGTTGAGCAATTAAGGTGGTGTCTTAATACTCTGGAGGATGGGTCAAAAAACACTACAAAGACTTTGTAACTTGAAGATGAACACAACAGCATCTGTTAAATCCCTCATACATGATTACAATTGATTTTCCAAAATACTTAGTCAATCAAGTGACCTAATATCTTTATTAGTAAATTATCAGTAATTATCTTACCTCTCAAAATATAATTCTGATAATTTTTATCCACTTCTGAACCAACTTTAATGAGGCACGCCAATCCATCGCTTTGGACAAATACATGAACTAGATCCTTGTCATCCTTTAANCGTGGGGAAAATGTTTTCTTATAAAAGATTAGTTAGGGGCCCCCATCAACAGGTAATTTCGTGGAGGCAGGAAATCTTTCATGAAAAACTGGCCACTATTTATATGTTACTAACGCGAAGAAATCCCGAATAGCTTCACGGGTTTTTTTAGGGTTTCCCCCTAACTCTTTACACTCTGTGGTCACTAAGAGGGACTTTTTAGCAAGCCCATTATGGATTCGGCCAAACCCACAGTAGGGAAGTCGGGAAGAGAGACGAATATCAGCCCGAAAGATTCGTGGAATATTTTCGACCCGTCCGGAATCGAACCCGGATCCCTCATTTATAAATTACCTGGAATGGCGGCGCTTCCGTTTTGCATCTGTCCTTCCGATTTGCTCGAATCGTCGTTAGATATTTGTCTGAAAATAAAGAAATGTTTGGTTTTTATAAAATGGAATTCTGTAATTATCTCTTATTTTAAATTAAATTAAATTGCTGTGTGACCGTAATAAAAAAAAAAATAAAAGTTAGTGTGGCTTTACCTTGTTGTTCTCCTCCAAGGCACTTTGTCTTGTTGATTAGTTGTTTGTATATCCGGAGGTTTTATTTTCGATGATGATATCGACTTCCCCAATGAATGCCTTTTGCTCTTTCTCCTGTCGTTATCGTCTAAACAAATCTTCCGATTTCTCGGCATTTGTCTGAAAGAAACATACCCGACATTCAACATTCCATCCTGTGTGACAATTATTTGACCATCCCCTTTCATTGTTAAGTTATGGCAATGTAACACTTGGGCAATCTGCCTTCCGGGAGGTCTTTTTTAAGGGAAACTGGCCCCTATTTAGGCGTTACAGACGTGGAGAAAACTCGGAAAACTTCACGTCCCAGCGAGGCTCGAACCCACCACCGAATTTCCAGTGTTCAGGGTATAAAGACTGCTTGGCCACTGGTGTTCATTGTTAATTAAATAACTTTGTTGTATTACTATATATATATGTTTTCATATATTACATCAATAGCTGGGCACAACATGGTTATCTAAACTGTACAATGATTTAAGTCTGTACAACTGTATAAAGTTACAGAATGTTTAAAAATAATTTATCTACTTGTGACTGTAATTTAGACAAAAATCAGTATTTATTATAACTTTTCTACCAATTGTTAATCCTTTTTTTTCCTTATAATTGTGGTTTCTAATCTTAATGTGAGATTCACTTGTCTATATTGTAGATTTAATGGGTTTTAATTCACTGAAACAGTGAATTAAAACCCATTAAATGTTTTGCCTCCTGCTGTGTTTTGCCTCCTCCAAAACAAAACCCTACGAGTGCCTCTGAATTGAGCATGTTCTAAATCATTCACTGAGTATATTCAAATGTTTAAAATACAACCTAATTATGCACCATTACTATTTCTTGACAAATATGTGGCTGTGTAGAATTCTAACAAGTAAATATGGCAAGCCCAGGATTAAAAATATAAGACATTTTGAGATAATAAAAGCGGTTTTTAAAAAAACTAACCTGAGAGTAACGTCGTAAGGCAACGGTTTTCCGTCGTCGTCGCCGTCTTCGTGCTTTAACACCGCCTAAAATTATAATTAGAATGAATAGAAAGTAAAGTAGATTCAATAAATTGTTTCAGTATACAATTTGTAACCTCTCTGCATCAAAATATAAATAAGTCTTGTTTATATAATGACTTTTTATGTTTTAAACTTACCAAAAAACTAATTATTAAGATTATTTTAGTGCTGAATTGTATAATTATGCCCAAAATACTTATTGTATTTATGAATTAATTTAGCCTAGTTAGAGACATTTTGAAACATATATGAGGACTGAAATTGTAAGAAAAGTACCAACAGCTATCAGTAAAAATGTTGATTGTGTCTCCATTAAGTGTACTTTTTGGATTTATTCTATTATATACATGTATCTTGATCATTTATTCAATAGTCCTGGGTGAGTAACCAAGTCCATACCAAACAGTTTTGGCACCCAGGACAGATCTCATACCTGATATCCTTGATTCAATGTTAATTACAAAAACATTCTATAGACACAGTTTAGAGCCCCGAAATCATGTGGGGCATAACTAAGAGATCTGCGGCAAATGCCTATGATACAAACACTTTGAATACAATTTGTATTCAAAGTGTTTGTATCATAGGCATTAAATAAATGACAAAATACTGGTCTGTAAGGGATTGGAATGAAAAAACTGGATAGTGAACACACCTGTTTGACTGAAATACTACTTTAGTGTACACTGAATTTTGCTTTTAACAATTACACTACTTATAATTAACTCTAAGTACACTTAAACCTAGTGTATTTGGAGTTAATTATACAAAAAAATCAATTCTTGATTAGCAATAAAGTATGAGATTCACAGAAATTGCAGTGTTACAATTAAATGTATACTTTAATATTACTATAACTTTCTTTTGGGCAAAAATTGAATGATACTCATTAAGTTATCAGTTAACATCATCACTTACAAGTGGTCTCACTGGGATTGACACTAACAAGAATATACTGTATTAAGATGCTAAACTAAATTTCAGATTTCATTAATACTTGTCATTTTTAAATCAATATTAATCACTATAATTATGGAATTACCTCATAAATTTTTAATTGCTGCATAAGATCGGGATCGATTCCTTTCTTATTCAAATAGTGTTCGATGATCCATTTCATTCCCTGCTCTTCCAGAGCATCCACCACGTCGTAATAGGTATCTTGATCGGGAATGGCATTCAGAGTCTAATATTTAAAATAAAAATTACAACTGTAATCAACTTATTACTTAAATCTGTATATAAAATTTAGAATTTCCTACCAAAATATTTATTTTATTCATAAAAAATTTACTTATTTTTTCATAAATACATTGCTTCTTTGACAGTAAAGTGGAACATTTAGAAAATTTTCAGTAGAGTATTTTTTTAAATTAAGATAGAGAATATGTATAAATTCTCATTTGCTTTCCATTTTATTGTATTCAATAGAACTTACATTAAGTGTTCTCAAAAATCTGAATATTTTTAGTGTAAATTTCATCCCTTGTTTGACTTTTATACATATAAGTAAACTGTTTACTCTTAAAATTCAATTATAAAATTAACTTTTTATTAATAAATTTCTAAAAGTTTATTAAAAACACAGTGTGTGTTTCCTTGTCAAGCAGACAAGTAAGCAAACCAACCATCTTTGGCTTTCTTACTTAGCTCCTTGACAAGGAAACACTCCCACTGTGTTAAAATACAAAAGGTAAAAACTTAAATTATGAAAAGACTAATTTAGCAGTTGTTAATAACCTGAAACTTTCATTAAAACCATTCATTTATATTTAAAAAAAAAAGATATTACATCATAAAACCATTTTTATTACCTTGTTAATAAGCGTCATTGCATATATCAGAAGCTCGATATCAGACGAATCCTTTTCGTTCAACAAATTCATGATATTGGACCAAGGTTTCACTCCTAAAATATTTATCAAGCTTTTGATTATTTTCTCATCTAAATTAATTTGATTAGGATAATTAAAAACTCTCTTTAAAAATTACAATTCATAGAATATTTTTATGCAATAATTTACTTAATTTACTAATAAATTTGGTACTTAAAACAGAATAAATGGCTTGTAATGAATTAACAAAATATTCAGATTGGAAACCCAAATATATAATCATATAGGAAGTACAATATCTAAATTTTCAACCTGATATTTTCTTCTAAATATATACAGGGTGTATCAATCAGTACAGCTGTTACAAACTTTCAGGAGAGATAGAGTACACCTAGACCATGGGAAATCACATAGCAATGCGCGGTCGGAAACGCTTTCCTGGCGCGGTAGTGACGACACAAAACACAAGAAAGGAAGGACACAAACAGGTTGAGAAAACACATTTATTATTCTTAGTACAGCAAAAATGAAAGAAGGTGTTTGAAATTACGACCCTGGGCCGCATCACGTCTCCTGCACTTTGAAGATCTAATGTTGTCGAAAATAAACATGTTTTCTCACCCTGTTCGTGTCCTTCCTTTCTTGTGTTTTGTGTCGTCACTACCATGCCACTACCATAAATTTCCGACAATGCATTGCTATGTGATTTCCCATCGTCTAGGTGTACTCTATCTCTCCTGAAAGTTTGTAACCACTGTACTGATACATCCTGTATACATATATGTGTATATATATAGGGATGAGGGTTTAACAGAGGAATCAACTTGATCCAATGTTAAGAAAACAAACTGTGTGAGAAGAAATCATCCTCCGCACAAAAATAACAAATTCTTCAACACATATTTTGAGTAAACTTTAATTTTTTACTTGTAGAGCAAGTTGAAAACACCTTATTTTCTCAGCAAATAAAGTATTGGAGAATTTGCTAAACTGTGTGAGGTTAGGAAAGAGAAAAGTGGTAAAAAGCAGAGGCAAGACAGATTTTAAACAGTGAAATTATAGTGTGGAAGTTATGTGACATTATCTTGTTCTTCTCATCTTTTGTCCTTATAAATTATATATATATAATTTAGGATCATTATACAGTCAAACAGTAGGTTAATTATTTTCTCAACTATTCACTTTAATTCGCATACCACCATTGTATTTAATACAGCGGACTACAGAGGAACAAGCTAATTGAATGGACTATTTGACTTATTTATATATAAATATTGAACTCTGATTTGTGGTTAAAGATAAATAGATAAAATTATATATTATAGCATTTCTTAAATTTCATCTTTGAAGAGATTGAAATCTTATTAGAGAGTAATATTAACTTGTATATTACAAAATATGAATATTTTTATTATTTGGAGTGAGCTAATGAATATAGAATTCATTCATTTAGTAAACTTACAAGAAAATAACCTGTATAAATCATTTATAAAGTTATAATTCTATAATAAATTTCCTTACCTTTTTCTCTATCAACAGTATTGACAGCATTCATCAATAATATGCTATTATATTCTGTATATTCCACAAATACTAATAATAATTTAAGTGCTGTTTTAACTACCAAACGATACTGAAAAGAATAATAATTTTTGTTTTAATTATTTTGATAATTAATATAAATATTACATTTTATAAAAGTTTTACAGTTTATTCTTAAACAGTTATTTTAATTTAAATTAAAATTAAGTTTCTATTAATTAATTATTCAAAAATTTAGCACTAAAACAAGAAGGATTCCTTGTTTTCGAGGCTCAATTTTTGAAAATTCGAAGACCTTACTATCAATGTCTATAAAGGTTTCATTCATTATGTCATATATGTACTAGTCAAACCCCCTATAACACTGTTGATTATTCTGTTTTATATGAATTTTGTGTTGTAGGAGTCACTTAGATTTTACAAATATGTGTGCAGGGCTGTGAACAGCTCACCTATTTGTAAAATCTAAGTGACTTATACAACATGGAATTCATATAAAACAGAATAATCAACAGTGTTATAGGGGGGTTTACATTAGTTGGCCCAGTGTTTAGGATTTCCTTATGGAATCTATGGCAAGCATAGCTATAACTGTGTGGAATGTTCTTTTTTTTTTTTTTTTT